CTTTTTCAATTATTTGCTTTTTTCTTTGCCAATTAGGACAAACACTTTAATAATTCTGAAAAATATACATTTGATTTTTCTGTTTTAAATACAAAAACTATTGATTTACAATATGAATATTAGTCATATATATTACTGAAAGAGTGAAGCGTAAAATAGTAATTTATTATATTAACATTCATTAATATTGATGGTATTGTTATATACTATTGATCAACGAAAATAAAGATTGTTTGGTTGTGCTTATCTAAACTAGTACGCATTATGATGAAAACAGATTGGTAAAAAGAAAAGAATAATAAATTATCAAAAATACTTTGAATAACAAACCAAGAGAATAAAATAAAATCCACTCATGAAGATTGATGAAAATGATTATTAACTTGTATTTTTTTTGAAACACACAAACAACAATTGTAAAATATGAACAAAATAAAATCTAAGTCAGAGTTAATTAAATTAATCAGAAAAAAACACCATAATCAAGATTAATGATATAAAACTACACATAATAAAAATATGACTCACAAATTATAATAACAATAACTTGACAATCAATGAAATACATTCTTTGTTTATACTACTATAAATTAGATATTATTTAATAACTCAAATTGAAGAAAAAACTCTTTATTCATTTGTGTTATTTCATAATAAATAAACCAATCTATACTTAATTGTTGTTTTCTAGAACCAAATCATTATTAAAATGAAGTTCTTATGTAATTGAAAAAAAGAAGATAGGTTATATAAATAAATCTAAGTAATTAAAAATGATATTCTGGTTGATATTAAAAATAGAACCAAAATAAATAATAATATCAAAATTATCTAGTCTAACAAAAGAAGTAAATTAAATATTTGGAGTAAGTTGCTCTGATGAGTCTATACGTTGAGGTGTTTGCATTGGAGTTTGGAAAGGAGTATAACCATTACTTACTTGATTCTCACCTTCTTCTTTAATAACTTTTAGTGCTTCATCTTTAGTTATTGGAAGAATTGTAGAAACTTTATTTTGGTGTTTGATTTCATACCATTTATTAGCTGGAAGAATTAACTCTGGTCTAAATGTAGTAACAATGTATTGAGCTTCTTTTGATTGTTCTTGGATTAATGTAGAAACAGCCTCTCTATAGACAGTGTCTAAATTAGAGTCAATTTCATCAAATAAATAAAATGGTGCTGGATCACATCGTTGAATAGCAAATATTAATGAAAGTGCAACAACCGTTTTTTGACCACCAGAGAGTTGTTGAATTGTCTTAGCATCACCACCAAAAGCAGGAAAAATAACTCTTAATGAAATACCACTATATGTTTCTGTTCTAATTTTTTTTGGCTGTGAAGTAATTGGAAATTTATTTTCAGATTGTGTTTGTGTTGATGGGGTTTGAGTAAGTTGATCTTGTTCATAAGGTTTCTTTAACATTACAAGAGTTCCTTTTCCTTGAGGAACAAGTTTATTAAATATTTCAGTAAATCCTTTAGAAACACCTTTAAATGTACGTTCAATAGCTTCTTCTTTTTTCTCATCTAAACTTTCTATTAATGAATAAATAGTTTCTTGAGTATCAAGTATTTCTTTTTTTCTATCAATTAATCCTTCTTGTTGTTCAATAAATCCTTTATATTGATCTTTTGCTTTTTTATTAACATGTCTATATTTTTTAATTTCTTTCATTGTTTCTTCAAGCATATCTTCTAACTCTTCTTTATTTCCTTTAATTTCTTCATAATTTTTTCCTATCTCTTCTCTTCTTTTAATAAGTTCTTTTCTTTTTGATTCAAGTACTGTCATTTTTTCAAATAATCTTGCCATTTTTTTCTCTCGTTCATTTTGTATTTTTTCTTTCTTTTCTTTTTCTTTTTCAATACCTTCTTGTTGTTCTTCTAATCTTCTTTCTTCTTGAATTTTCTTTTCTATTTCCTCATTAATTCTTTGTAATTCTTCCATACTTTTCTTTAATACTTCTTTATATTTTTCAATATCACTTTCATCCCCTCCACTTTCTACTTCTCTCATTTTTCTTTCTATTTCATTAATTCTACTCATAATTCCAAATTGATATTCATTTCTTAAAACTTGTCTTCTATTTTCTATTTCAACTCTTTTCTTTTCTAATTCTCTAACTTTATTTTGGATTTCTTCTAATGTCTTTTTAGCTTTTTCAATTTCACTTCTATCAATTATGTTTTTATTATCTTTCTCATTCTGAAGTATTAACAATTTTTGTGTATTTCTAAAAATTATTTTTTCATTTTCTTCTATCCTTTTTTCTTTCTTCTTAATACTTTCTCTTATTCTTTCACTCTTTTTGATTTTAATCATTCGTTCCATCCTTTCTTTTTCATATTTAACTTCTTCCTCTGCTATTTTACTACTTATTTCTTCCATTTCTTTCATAATTTCTTTTTGTTCTTCTTCAATCTCTTTCTTCTCTTCTTCACTACGTGCAATATCTTTTTCTATTTCTTTAATCCTTTCTTTTGTTTCTTCAATACTCCTGATTATTTCTATTATTCCTTCTCCTCTATACCCTCCTGTAACAATACCCTTTCCATTAAAAACATCCCCATCAAAACTAACACATTTTACTTGATATTCTTTTTGATATTCTATTGCATCTTCTCCTTTCTTACAAATCATAGTATTTCCAAAAACAAATTCAATTGCTTTTCTTACTTCTTCCTTATATTTAATATTTTTAATTAAACTTTTCACTTTTTCTGTTTCTTCTCCTTCTTGTTCTTTTCCTTTAATTTGATTTAATGGAATAAAACTCATTCTTCCTATTTTCTTTTCTTCAAGTACTTCTATAAGTTTTGTAGCTGTTTCATCATCTTCAACAATACAATATAATAATCCATTTCCAGAACATGCTTCAAGTGCTGTATATATCCTTTCTTCACTTTCAATATTTTCTACAACTGTTCCATAATATTTGATTTTTGGTCTATTTATTCCTTTTTCTTCAACATATCTTTTTAAATATTCCGCTATTGTAAGTTGTTTTTTTATTCGTGTTCCTTCTGCTCTTTTATATAATTTAATTACTTCTTTCATTAATCTTTGTCTTGTATTTTCAAAATTAATCATTTTTGTATCATTTGTTCTTTTCTTAATCCCAATTTCTTCTTTCCTCTTTCTTAACTCCTCCATTTTGATTTTACCAATGAAAACTTCATGAATTTCTTGTGTATTTATTTGACTTCCATTAATTTTCTTCATTTCTTCAACTTCTTTTTGTAATTCTTTTTTTTCTTTTTCTTTCTTTTCAACAAACATTTCTACTTCTTTAATTTCTTCTTCAATAGCTTCTTTATATTCTTCATCACTTGAATATTTTGCTTTTCTTCCTATTTTATTATAAAATTCATCAACACTTGCTTGTGCTTCTGCTTCTTGTCTTCTTCTTTCTAATAATTTATCATTAATTTCTTTTTCTTCTTGATTCATTTTATTAATTTCTTCTTTAATTTCTTCACTTCGGTTTTTGGCTTTTTCCATTTCTTCTTTCATTTCTTTTATTTCTTGTCTTCCTTCTTGTCTAATTTCTCCTTCTACCTTTAATCGTTCTGCTTCTTGTGCTTGATTACTTATAATGACTCTCTTTTGTTCTAATGTATTTACTTCTTCTTTAAGTACTCTTCTTCTTCTTTTAACTTCTTTAATTTCTTCTTCTTTATCTTCTTCCATTACATGACTTTCTTCTCTTCTTTCTTTTGTATTTGCTTCTAATTCTTTCTCAATTTCTTCTATTTTCGTTTGTGTAATTGAATATTCAATTCCTCTTCTTTTCTTATCTAATTCTTCATATCTATTTAATTCTTCTTGTTCTTCTTGAAGTTCTGTTAATCGTTCTTTAATATAATTCATAACTTCTTCAATCTGTTCTATTTTATTTCTATTTTCTTTTAACATTTTAAAACTTTCTTCTCTTCGTTCATCATATACTCGTGTTCCTGCAATCTCTCGAAGTAAATCTAGTCTTTCACTATCTTTCATCATAGCAAGTGAATTTACTCGATTTTGTTGAACAATGTAATATGGATTACTTCTACTAAAACCTGCACTTTCTAATAAATTCATTACTTCTTCTTTCTTTGATCTTTTATCATTTAAGAAATATTCATCTTTTTGTAGTCCAATACATCTTTTAACTGATACTTCATCTCTTTCAATCATAAATCTTCTATCCCTATTATCAAATACTACTTCTACAAATGCACTAACCACACTTTCTCCATTTCCTTCCTATTATTATAAGTTTTATTTATTTGTTTATTTTTCCTTTCTTAATCTTTTAACAACAAACATACAATAAAAATTGTCTATCACCTGCTCTTAAATTTCCAAATTTTTCATCACATAATACAAATTGGATTGCATCATAAAAATTTGACTTTCCTGATCCATTTCTTCCAATAACAACATTATAATGTGGATCAAATTCATCAAAATTAAGTTGTTCTTGATAACTTTTAAATCCTTTAAGACTTATTCGTTTAATAAATACCATTTCTTTATATTTTTGTTTTTTTTTTGTTTTTTGAGTTTTTCTTTTTTTTTGTTATAAACTTTATTTATTTTTAATTAACTTTAATTTTAATTTAATTAAACCAAAAAAGAATAATATAAACAATTCTCTTAAAAACATTAATTCAAAATTTGACATGATTTAACTCTTATTACTTCATCACAAATTGTTTCTTTTGGTATTGTGACAATACTTGCTTGTGTAGGTGATGTCTCTCTTATTTTTGGTTTTATTTTATGACATAATAATTTCCGAATTGACTCTCCCCAAATCAGTGAAGTGGTACTATGAAACTGTACTGGTTTCATAGTAATTAATTTAATAAAATCATTTAATTCATAAATAAAATCACCTGTAACTGTTCTAACACTAATATTTATTTCTCCATTTTGTTTTCCCATTGGTTGATGTTCATTTAAAATTGAAATATGCCATGAACGTTCATCTTGACTTAGTCGATCATCAGTTCCTCTTTGACATTTAACAATATGTCCACATGATCTTAGTTGATTTGCAACATAAAGAAGTTTAAATGGATTATCGCAATATAATTTAATTTCAATTAATGGTTTTGAAAAATGAATAATTTCTAAATTATCATTTATAGTGTTTGGTAAAATAATTTCTTGATTAATAACTTCATTTCTTGTTTGTGTTTTAATAAATTTTGCAAATGCTTCATTTTCTTCTTTATTTGAAAGATTATATTTAATAATTGTATTATTTCTCGTTGTTATAAATTCAAATGAATTTCTAGTTAACATTAATTGATTTAAATTTATTATATTACAATGACTATCAATAAATATTATTTGTGAATTACTTGTTGGATTTGGACTTTTGATATTATATCTTAAATTGTCTAATAAAAATGGTTGTAACATATGAACATATTCTTCAATTTGTTTATCTTTTAATGATTTATTATAATAATATTCAATATATTCTCCTAATATTACTTCTATCCATTCTTCTTTATTACTTATTATTTCTTGTAAACTTATCCACTTTTTAATAACTTCTTTAGATCCTGAACTTTCATTTAAATACGTCATAAAAAAACTAGTAAATAATTCATTACTATTTTTTGTAACCCATTCTATCCTTTCTTTCTTTTTTTCTTTTATTTCTTTTATTATTTCTTCTCCTTTTTTTCTTTCAAATTCTTTACTTATAATTTTTATCATTACAATTCCAATATCTTCATAATCTTTTTTCATCATTTCTTCTTTTTTATATTCTCCATTTAAACATCCTATTGATCCTATTGATATATTATATTCTTTATTGTCAATAAATATTGTTTCTTCATTTAAATTCCCATGAAAACTCCCATTTTTATGAAGTATCACTATTGCATCAATTAATTCTAGAAATATTTTACATATAATTTCTCCATTAACTTTTGTTTCTTCACAAAATTCTTTAATACTTTGTTTTGCTTTAATTAATGAAAATCTTATTGAAATGATTTCTTTATTACTTTCATTCATATAACATCTTAGATATGGTGAATTACATTTTTCTATTATTTCTATTCTTTCTTTATTAAACTCTTCTTTTTTAACTTCAACAAATTGATAATAACAATGGTCTAATGTATTAAAGTATACTTGTGGATATGTGTGGTAAATATAATTGTTGAACCGTTTCACACATTCCATTTATTTTCTTATTTCTAATTTTTAGTCCATTTTTGTTATTCTTTTTTTTTCCTTTTCTCTAATTCTTAAAACTCTTTTTTCATATTTTGTTTCTTCTT